AATTTATAATCTTCGACAGGTGCATTATATATTTGTATTTATGTACATAAGGTCAAACTATTGTGAGAATGGTTTATAATGAAAGAAATAAGTATGCATAATGGCCATAAGGTCGGATACATCCAATGACCAAGAAAGAGCTAAGATTGCACAATAATATAGAGCATATAAGTCAGCCACCTTCTTATTGCCACCCTCACACGGGCCCAGGCCCATTAGCGCCGCGGACACATTGAGCAGCAGCACAATGCAAAGTTGGATTATAGATCTGCATTATGCATTAAATATTCGCACAATAGGAGCTGACAAATGTTCAAAAGTCAAGATGTCAACATGTAGTGCCTAAAATATTGTTCATGAATGCATAACACAATTGTTTCAATATCCGAAATAAAAGGAAATACTAAACCCTAGACCCAAAATTAAGCTCTGAGGGTAAATCATGCCTGTGGCATACTTTGTTGACTTTGTGCTAATTGAAACATGCACAATAATGATAAGTGATATGCACAATATTGCATGTGAATATGCACATAAAATATATCATCATATATCACGAAATTACGAAAAAACCACCACTTAGAAAAGACACAGATTACCAAAATGCCACTACGTTTTTACTAAATGTCACCAATTAACATTAATTTATCATATCCAACAGTTGTATTTTCATTCTTTTTTCTTTCACTATCGCCCATTCTCATTTGATCCTACGTATATATATACTTATAATAGGAAACTTGTACCTTTTTCACTTTCATCTAAATTCTACACTCTTGGCCGAACTAGACCTATAGTTTTTTGGCAGATGGAGTATTCGGCTGCTAGAACAGATTAAATCTTATATGATGAAAAATCCTCCCCCTCCCAGTTGTTTCTTGTTCCCACTCACATTCTTATGTATCTATCTCTTTATTTTCTGGGAGCTTCTATCCATGTGTTTCATCCAAGTGATATTTACTAGCTACACACAAATATATGATTAACAGGCTTCGTCATTATTTCTTTTGCAGAGAAAATCTCTCTTGGAGGTTATTAAGGAGACTGTACTGTCACATCTCACAAAAAAATGTTCGCCCCATGTGTGACCCCACTCAACACACCTTTTCTATGTCTTTACAGCTCCTCTTAAAAGCCCATGCGAGTTGAAATTTTGCTCCTATATATTTTCAGGTTCAAGTTGTTGGTCTGCTTTGCCGAACTCCCCAGAAGGAAAGCAGAAATGAATTAATGAGACGAGTGGCTGCAGGTGGTGGCGTATTTGAGGGTAAGGATGGCACAAAAGTTCATCTTCCGGGATCCAATTTAAATGAAATAGCAAACCAGGCTGATGATCTCCTTGAGGTTGTTCTTCAACGATGCATGTACTTTACTTCGTTGATTTGTTTGTTATCTGCCTTGTTACGTTTGTCTATGTCCTTCTACTAACAGTTGCATTTCAATGGCTTAATTTTTTTTTTGAATCTTTTTTCCTTCCAACAAGGGTATTCAAAAAACGACCCGTCTTTTGTGCTGTATTCCCATTAGAATACATCATTGTTAAAACATTTCTTGTGATGTTAAATTTCACTGTGGGAAAAAGGCATAATTGCTACAGAGTTATCACAATGTTTGTTGAGAACGTTAAACATTGAAAACTGTCCTGTATGAAAACGTTTTTTATTTGTAATAGGCTTTGATGTTGGCCTTGCTGCATTCGATTTCTGACAATTCCCATATGCTTGGCTTTAGAAAATGAATGAGCCACTCACCTGCAACCACGCATAGAACTTTTCTGTTGACCACTTTAAGCTCTACAATAGTAGGATTGTTCAATAAAACTTGTGCTTATATCTGTCTCCCAATGACTCACAGTCACTGCTAATTTAAGTTGCCTTCATGGAGGAAAGATCACATTTTGTATTTAATTACGTCATGATATTTTTTGGACATAGACAATGGAATCACGCCCTGTTGTTCCCGACCGAAAGCTACTCGCAAGGCTCGTTTTGATCAGAGAAGAAGCCAGGAATATGATGGGAGGCGGAATATTGGATGAAAGAAATGATCGTGGTCTCAATACACTACCTGAATCAGAGGTCTGTATTTCAGTTAATAAATAAATACTATTACCTATTCACGTTACAGTTTCATGATTCACTAGTGACTGGTCCTTATGTTGCATAATCACAGGTCAACTTTTTGACCAAGCTAGTTGCCTTAAGACCGGGGAAGACTGTGCGCGACATGATAAAAAATGTGATGCAAGGAAAAGATGAAGGCGCAGATCGTTCTGAGAGCGAAGGTGGAATAGCAGGAAGGGTGAGCTTTTCTGTTCATTTTTTTGAAAAAAGGAAAAACTGGGTGGTTGTCTTGTTATAGGGATGTGTTAAGCTAGATTATGAATATATGATGATACATGAACATTATTTTTACTCCTAATCTTGATGTTCAGGCTAGCGTTACGGGGCGTAAACCCTTACCAGTCCGACCTGGCATGTTTCTTGAAACTGTTACCAAGGTAAATGTCGTTTTTGGATTTGCAATTCATATTCATGTTAGTTTTAAGATTTTACACAGACGGCATTTCTTAATACTTTGATGTTCTGTTTATACCCTTGGTACATAACAATTAATTTCTGTCAGAGTTTCATAGAGTTTTATTGTTATATTAATTTTAGAACGTAGATTGTCATTTTTTTTTACCTGATATCAACTTTACTTGGAAATTAGGTCTTAGGTGGAATATATGAAGGAAATGTGTCTGGAATTACCGCACAGCATCTAGAATGGGTAAAACTCTCTCTCTCTCTCTCTCTCTCTTAATTGAAAAATTAAAGAATGCTAACTTCCTGCTCGTCTTATAAATCACTGTCTGATTAAATAATAACTGCATCTGTTATGGGGAAAATTTTAACTTAGAAACAGAAATCATTACCTGCTACTTGTGCGAAAACCTTTTTACGTAAAGTGAGAGAGTAAAGAATCAGGATCTCACAGAAGAGCACCTACTCAATTAGATATAAAAACTGTCTCTGATCCTCAAATTCTGTATTTGCCTGTAGAGAATGCCTATGGTAGTCCCCCAACTATCAATAGACAGTTTTACCAACTCTAGAGACTGGTTATTCAGTTTCTGCTTCTGCTGCAATTTGGGTCAAGTGTAATATCTGATTTTTTTTAATGGTTTGCTGCATCTTTATTTATTTCAAATTCATAAAGAATGCATAATTCAGAGATGTTATAATATTACAAGAACTCTCTGAGGTTTGACTCGGCCTTTTATTTTCATCCTTCAAAGAGCATTTCAGAAGTCCCTTTACTATAAAAAGACGTTACAGTTAACCCTTTAATCAAGGCAGGGACTTCTCTTTTTAACTTTGAAATTTCTGTTCACTTTCCTTTGTAATTACTGCAAAACCCCAGGTTAACTTGCATGTTTCCCTCGTTTCTGCAAAAGTATGATTATGTGCCAAAGAAATCAGAGCGAAATTTAGTTTTGTAGCTTGTGGATATTCAATGCCTCTATGCAGACAAGATGAACCATTTAATTCCCTGGTCTTGTCACAGGTTCACCAGAACACTCTTCAAATTCTTCAAGAAATCGCTTTCTAGTTTTTGCCAACAGTGATTTTGAGGTACCTTTTTGTCTGGTTATCCCTCGTCTAAGTTCTCCCTTTGGAAAAGTTTTGGGTATACCATGGAACTAGGAAGAATCTTCTTCTGTATTAGATGCCATCATCCTCAGCCAGCATAACTGCTCCAGTTCTCAAAGTTGCTAGTATAAAGCAGATTAAGAAATATCAATCCCCTTTCACATTTTCCTTTATATTGGTGTAGAATTTGAAAATGGCTATGAAATGTCTGATGTGGGGGTCAGACTAGGAAAGGCGAAAAGTTACACTTGGATTTTTCTTTTTCTTTATGTAGAAAGTGAATGTTATTGTTGATATAGTATGGTATAATGGAAATGTATGTTTTCCTAGTGAGAAGTCTCGTATTGTGTATTTGCAATTGAAGCAAGAAGTTAGCGCACACCATAGAAATTTTTGTGGGTTGAATAACTTGGCATGGATTTCTGACCCATTTTTTACCGACTAATCCGTTCTTATTGTGATCGTACATATATTGCTCAAGTTTTAGAGTTCAAAATCAATAAAGCTGAAAGTTGTTGCCAGTGAATGATGCTTCTAGAGCTTTTTAAGTATGATATGCATCGTTACTTAGAATTGTCCGAATATAATTTTTTTTTTTTTTTTTTTTTTTTTATTGTAGAATATTAGATCAGCCCCTATCTTAGAAATATATGGAGTTCAAGCCAATTATGCTTGAAGATCTTGTCTGGAATACATGATCTTCCAATGATAAAGCGAATCAAAAACTGAGTTGTACTCGTATTGTAAGTTTTTCCCAATGATGGCAGTGGTCAAAATCTGTGTCACTGTCACATTGTGTTGAGAAAACCATGTGTGATTGGGCCTACAGGGCCCTTCCACTGTGAGATCTCACACACTTTAAAAGGACCTCTTTTTACAATGATTTTGATGTTTTGGGGGTTATGAACTTGCAAACACAGCAAATAAAAGCAACAATAGTGTGGACCACTAGTATTTCAGGTAGAGTACGGATAGAGAAAGACATTATATTGGTAAAAATTCATCCTACCCATATGAGCACTAGCCTTTGTTTTTCAACATACAGATTTACATATATCCATGTGGGTGTCCAATATGTATACATATAAATTCATATGTAAATTTATACTATATATATGTATGTATGTGTCTCTGTAGATGAAATGTAGAGGATCAAGATGTCTTTCCATGCTTGTATAAATATATTCTACGTACTTCTTTCCTCACGGGTAACATTAATTTTGTGTGGTTTTCGTGGTTTGCACTTGGATCGTCCATAGACCAATTTTCTCAAGATATAAAGTCTTGAGAAATATTGTCTTCAACATTTGAACTGTGGAAGTGATGATTTAATTTAAGAATAGAGACCAACCAAATTTTGCTAAAAACAATTAGCAAATAAGAAAGGTCGAAAAATTGAGAATGAAGCACATGTATGTCTGCTAGTGAATATTCTGAGCAGGTGCAGCGTGCCCGTCGTGATTTATCCTTGGCACACCATATGTTGCATTTGGTCCACCATCATTAGAGATTAACGCAGAAAAAAAAAGTTGCATTGACTGATTTATAGATTAATTTCAAAATTTGTGGCAAGGTTTGGTCTAATTGAAGAGAAAACTGTGTGATTCAAGATTACATTTGTTAACCTTCCCTTAGTTATATGGTTTTATTTTATTTTTTCTTGGTTTTTTGGTGGTTTGGGTCTTTTGTTTTGTTAACCTTGTGTTGTCCCATGCATTAATGGAGCACTGATATAGTCGTGGTAGCACATATAAAGGAGTAGGGTTTGTTGAGGTCCCAATTTTTTTATATATTACATTGTATTTAATAATAATATACTATACTTTATAATTAATATTTCGAGTGTACGTGGCATGGATGTTTTAGTTAATGTTAAAAGATAACAATGTTCTAAAACAGTGAGATATTAGAAGATTGATCCAAAGAGATCAATTGCTAACTATAGCACCTAAACATGTGCCAGAGTCACTTAAGATGCAGCTCCAAAAGTTTCTAACACATGGGCCATCAGAAAATATATAGAATTTGATAGAAGAACACTTTGAACACATGGGCATATTTTGTGACTTCACCAAATATGCTTTTGAATATTTGAAAATAACTGTAAGATAAATAACTAAATACAATATAGAGAATCAAATGTCGAGCTTTAACTAACTAATTAGATAGTCACCAAATTTCTGTTAAATCATCCAATGTATTATATGTGGCAATGAAGCTCGTCCTTAGTTGAAGAATATGGGGTACCAGTTATTATTCCTTTGTCCAGCTTTCTGAAAAAGCAAACCATATTTCTCATGGTGGGCCTCGGAAGTTCAAAAATGACATTATGATCCTTCAATTTTCCACCTTTCGACAAAAATGCCGATATGATTTGAACAGAACGTCAGCTAAAATACATTTACAAGATTTTTCTGGTATAAAATATGGCTCAATGATTTTTTCTACACAAATTGCATGCATAGTAGCACTATCCTCTTTTACACAAGATTGAAAGTTTGAAACTTCCTAAGATATTGATACCAAAACAACAACAATAATAATAATATCCAACTCATTCATATCACTACAAGAAATATCAACTTTATCTAGACAAAAATTTCTAGGTAAATCTTTTTAACTAGAGAATAACTAGATAAATCCTATTGATTTTGTTGTAGGTAAAATGCTTGTAAGTAAACTTTTTACTTAGAGATATATAAATCTCTAAATTTTTACCTAGAGATTTACTATATGATCGCAACAAAATTATAATTTAACATGCCAACAAAATATCAACAGAAAATGTTGTAGGTAAATGTTTCTCTAGCTATTTTACTAGAGATTACCTGTATTTTACCAAGAAATATGCCAACAGAATACAACATTTTTACTTACTTATTACAAAATACCTAGCGTTTTTCATCCCAACAAATTACCTAGTTAACATATGCCAACAAATTATCAACACAAAAAATAGGTAGAGAGTACTTACAACAACTAACTTGAGCGTTAGACGTTTTACCATTGTGATCCCTCCTAGCGTATTGCAAGTCACCAGAGCTCAAGACGAAGAACTAATCGTTGTAGTGCCATTTAATCTGGTTTGAGAGCAATTTTCGTATAAAAGACCCGTATATGAAAAAACGATTTCTCAATACATTACTTTAATATTTGAAGGGTTTATTAAAAATAATTTCTCAATATATTACTTTAATATATAAATGGTTTATTACTAATTGGAGAGAGCTAATACTAATCTGCCTTGATTAAGTTTGTTGGGCGGCAACATTTATTAATTTACAGCAGTACCTTATTCATTTAGTGCATTATTTAAATATTAATGATGTAATTTATGGGCCACTCTAAGGACACACAATTATCGGTCCTTATTTAAAGCCCCAAAAATTATTCTTACCCAATGTTTTTCATGGTTAAAGTGTTTGGGGAAATTTTAAGTTCAACTAGTATTCGACTTGTGCATTTGCACAGTGTAAATAGAATATTATAAGTTACATTTATACATATAGTATTAAAATTATAAGTTATACAATGATATTATATTTTAAACATAGAGTATTATAAGTTATATTTATGCATATAATAATAAAAATATAAATTAGATAATGATATTATGTTTTAAAATGTGATCATTGGTTAAAATAAATAGTACATAACTATTTGATTGCATATGAACCACTATATTAATTACATAAAATATAATAAATAATGTAATTTTGAGAGATCGCCAATTTATTAGCTTAAAATATTAAATTTATTATAACATTTTATTATGCGATTTAAAGAAATTTTACTATAATATTAAAATAAATTAACTTATTTAAAAATACAATCTCTAAAGAAGATAAAAAAAATATAATATTAATTTTAGAATAAATAACTTTAGCGAAAAGTTTACAATAATTTTTTATGTTTATGTAACTTTCATATATCATTTAGTGTAAACTATATTTATTAGTTTTAATAATAACTATTATATGATATAATAAAATA